ACATACTTATTATATTCATTGACCATTTAATTTGTGTTCAAGTTATATTATTTTCATAAATTTAAGAATTGGGTGAATAAATATTAATTTGAGATCTTAGGTTTAATTTTTGTTGTTAATTGTTCTTTTAAGGAACTAAAAATATGTAGTGAAGTGATAAAATAGAGTCTTGGTGTGGTGGAGTAAGCTTTCGATTTCGATATGACATAGAGGTAGATGAATATGTAAGATTAACACTTCATGTCCAAGTTAATCGATGAGTAACAAAAGTGTAAAGAGAGTTATTGTTAGAACATACCTCTATTAGAGAAGAATATTGGTGAAAATAGTCTAGAAAGAGAGGTTAAATAGAATTTTTTCTAAAACCAAGTGCCAAAATATTTTTCTTTCTTTTTTGGATGAAAAATAACATTCATTTATTCAAATTGATAAAATACATTAAATAATACAAATTCAAAATCGCTATAAAGTGAAAAGGATGAATATATGAACAAACTCACAACACTCACGTTAATAGCATATAACAGAATGCCTACAAATGTGACGAAACTGAAATGCTCAGAATATCATATCTCCGAGTCTGCAACGTTGGCAACGTCAAAGTCATTGGTTGAATATTCACTGATTCGAAACTAATATGTCAATATGAACTGAACAAACACTGCACTAAGATAGGAAAACTAAATAACGTCGCAATAAGATGACGATCAACACAACGTCGCACTAAGACGAGGAAATCACGAAGAAAAAATTAAAAATATATGTGAAATCACTTATTTGAATAAAAAAGAAAAGGAAAAAGAATTCAGATGGGTGATTTTGGATCAAAATTAATCCTAAAATCAGTCCTTTTTGTAGATGAAGAAAATAGAAAACTAGGATTGAAGAAAGAAGGGAAATGACTGCTTAGAAAGAAGGGATTTAATTGCAAAAATCTTTTTCTTAAATCAAAATTTTAATAAAAAGCGTGCCAGCAAAATTTTATAAAATGTGTGTAGATAGAATTCATAAATTGCACTATAATCAGAAAATAAAATGACGATGAATGATGAAGTCGCTAATCAATCAATGCGTCAATTAATGAAGTTTAATTTATACGAGATGTTTAAATTGAATCTTATTAATTGATCAATCAATTTAATATTATAGGTTACAAACAATTATAATCACCAAAAAAAATTATATGATTGAACGTGTCCAAGACTTACACGTAAGCATAAATCGCTACAAGCAGATCAAAACCTAACAACTTGCGATTCTAAAAAAGCGATAAAACTTAAGCATACAAAACTACACATAAATTTTAAAGAGATAATGATAAAGAAGAGTACACTAGTAGTACTTATATAAGTTCAATGTGTTCGTCCTCGCTTGCGTATGATCCAGTCTTCAATTGTGAACCGTTGAAAACCCATAATCTTTCACTATTTGACATTTTTATGTGTCTTTGAATACATTCTGATAATAACAGATAATGCTGAAAAATAAAACAACAATTAAACAATTGCTGGAGCGGTATGGCGGCAAGCAAAAAGTAAATTATTAATTTACCGGGTGATATTTAGGTTATATCGTATCGTATTCAAGGAGATTAGTTATTGAATTACCGTTTGACAAATCATTCGTTAATGAGTTTGAAGTTTGAATAGGTTTGGTTTGTATAGAAAGGAAAATAAATGAACATAAAATATATACATTCAATAGAAAGGAGAAATCTATCAGACATGAATTTACATTACTCGTCACAAACTTAAACCTATTGATCAGTTGCACTCAACCTACTCTACTCATCAAAATCATCATGGACACCACGAGATATACCCACAATGAAGGTTATGTCTAATGCCAAGTCGCGAGACCAACCGTATTACTCTATCGAAAATATCTTACGCGCTACAACAACATGGAAGCATTAAGCTTTAGCACTCAAAGTGAATATTAGCTCTAAATCTATCTCTAGAATCTAGAAACTAATAGATATCCATCTCTAGTCAAGATTTGTGAGGTATATGTCTATAACAATCCAAATCCAAACATAAAGAAAAAAGATCAAAGAAGACATCAAGATTGATTTGTAAAGAAAGCTTTATACAACACCATGATCAATGAGTATACATATGTTCAAAGTAAATATACAAATATAACCCAACAAATAGAGAAATACATAGAGAAGGAATGAAGAAAAACTAAACATCTCACGGGTTGCCAGCACCGATTGATGATAAATCTGACTCTGGATCATCAAGATGCAAACTCCATTTGTTATTTTCAAGCTCTCTCAACCAAAAATGGAGGTTTGATGAGTTGGGATCAAAAATACCCAAAGCATAACCTAAAAAAAGGTTTTTTACCCATAAATACGTATTTCTGACTGATCTACATCGCCCAACGATCAAAAAGCATCGCTACACGCTCAAAACTGCATTTTTCCACGCTTCAGGTCGCTCCAGCATTGTCCGATGACCAAAAAGCGTCGCCTGTCGACAATTGACAGTAAGTTGAAAAACCAGCACAGTTTCAGCCATAAGTTGAGAACCATAACTTCGATTTGCACACGATCAGAAGTGTTGGAAAGCTTATTCAACGCTCTTTCTAATAATGCTTAAATATTAATGCTTGAATACCTACAAAAATGATATAAAATCAATTAAACTCAATGATATTTACATGATAACACAATAAATACGCTATAACATAAACTATACCGAATATACACTAAAGTTGAGGTTTATTGACAAAAAGCAAACGAATTGAGCCAGTGAGTGTTAATTATTCACGCTCAAATTCACAATAATTTAGAACTCATCAACAACTTCAATCTTAATCTTCTTCTTCTTATGTATACATCTCACAAGGTTGAATTCCACAGGATCTTCACTTGATCTTGCAACAATTCACCTTCCCATATCAAAATTTGCAATAAACCTCCGCCCACAACATTCTTTGTTCAACCCTACCGAAAGCCCCCTCTACAAGCTTTTGATCTCACTGAAGGAACTAGAAATTCTCAACTTCGTGCATAGCAATCTTCACTCCCTTCTACCGAATTCTCCAATGGAGAATAAAACTCTTCTTTTTTTTTCTTTGTTGGATTGTCAATCCCAACTATATAACCACAACTTGATTCTTGACCTAGAACTCAAACTTCACAAAACATTAGTGCTTAATGACCCTCCACTCACTAGATCTCACACTCCTTCAGAGTTGAGAAGATACCTTTCAATAATGGTTATGTGCTAGAGGTTGAAAATGAATAATTTCATATGCAATCTCACACAACAACGCTCAAGAACTCACGAAATCAAATTAGGAAGGATTTTTTCTTCAAGTTTGATTTGAGAGAGAAAAAAATTGTGTGATTGATAAAACTGAAAATAGTTTTTTTTTTTAAATTTGTGAGTGAATGTGTATGTGAAAATTTGTTTCAAAGTTATTAAGAGTTAAATTAAGTTAGGGAGATACAATTTGATTTAGATATGAGATGGAGTTAATGCACTAAAAATGAGAAAAATGATGATTCGGGTCAAGAGCAAAGATTGTGATTCGAGTCGAATGAGAGTATGATTTGAATCAAGAATATAAAATTCAAATTTTACACCTTTGATTTGAATCAGTTATACGCCCAAATAAATTCTTAATTTGAATCACACAACCAGAAGTAAAATCTAAAAGTTGAATCTCAACTATGATTCAAATAAGTCTTTCATGTGATTCTAATCAAGCTCACACCTAATTCGAATCAGGGAATCTTGTTATTCCGATCATTCTGACAAAGACAAATTTTGACTTATTCAATTTGTTCATGATTCAAGTCACGACTATTCATTGATTCAAATCAAGCTTTTAGAATTGGAATTTTGAGAAATTAAAATTTTCTTGATCGAATCTAAAATTCGTTTGACTTAAACTTTACAAATATGAGTTTCTCGATTCCAATTTTCAACTTATTAACTTGAACTAATTTGCATAGATTTTTACATAAATATACCTGCAAAATAAAATTTAATACAAAAACATTAAGAGATACACTATGATGTAATTTAAACCATTTTTATATTTATGAGTTAATTAAATACATTGTAAATTTAATCTATTACTTTATTTAATTTCAGTTAGATTATACACTAACTATTATAAGTTTATTGTCTCTCGGCTATATTTTACATCTTAGCAGCTTCTTTTTACTAAAAATAATCTAAATATATTTTGTTTAAAGAATTTAATTGATATGTATTGAGATGTAAAATAGTTTTACACCGTCAATTAATTATAATCATTAAATTATTATAATTGTTTAACTTTTGCCTTCACATTTAAAATATTACATAAGAACGGTTGTGATGAAAAAAAAATTACATCTTAATCAATATATAATATTTAAAATGATAAATGCAATTGCATAGTTAATAATGCAAGGCCATTCTAATAAGACTTTTTTAGACAAAATTTTGATTACTCTCATGTAAGGTGAGAGATAATATGACCCTTCTCAACTTCAAAGAGAAATTATAATGAAATTTTCATTCACACTACTAATTAAGAATTTAATTTTAAAAAAGGAAATGAAATTAAAACTAATAATAGATTTAACGAGTAAATTAATTTCTACGGTCGTGCACAGAGAATCTATTTCTACCGGAAAGAAAAAAAAAGACAACTTTTCTAATATTAATTTCACCAAACAAGATTAAAAAAGAGGTTGGGTTGAAATGATATCGAGATAATTACAGCTCTCCAAAAATTTACATGAATTACAAACCACAATTTGAATTGCTAAATTAATCAAAAGATGGAAAAGAAAAATATTTGCATTTTGCAGCCTCATTTCCTTGCCTAGCACACAATCTTCGCACCACCAAAATGCAGTTCAGATTGAAGCTTCTTTTCTTCTGTATCAAGATAGCCCTTCTGCATCTTTCAATCGACACGAGTTTGACAAAATCACAGCCTTAATGTAATTTTCGTGATTCCACCAAACATATAATCTTTCAATTCAGATATTACCTTCCAATTCTTTCAAGATTTTCAGACACAGTTTTCATTCTAGGCCTAACTTCAGGATCACCTTCAGTACAAGCAAGTGCAACATGAAACACAGCCAAAACCTCTTTCTTCGCGCGAACTTCTTGTAACAGAGATGGATCAACCATTTCAGATAATGGACTTTCTTGATCAAATCCATTTCTCACCCATCTTACCAAATCAGAAACTTCAACAGAAGCCGATGAAGACGCGGACGTTGGAGAAGATTCCGTAGATTTCCCAGTTAACAACTCAAGCAAAATGACGCCTAATGAATAAACATCCCATTTCTGTGTTGGTCTACAGCCGGGCACACGAGCCTCGGGAGCTTTGTAATTGTTACTACGACTGTTGTCTAATGACAACCTGTTATTCGTTTTCTGTGATGTTTTCATCATGTAAGGTAGTGCTCCGCCCATGAATCCGCCAATAGAAGGGTTGTTTCCTGTGATGCTGATTAGTCGGTTGAGACCGAAATCGGAAATGTAGGGTTGTAAGTCGTTGTCGAGTAGGATGTTTGTGAGTTTTATGTCACCATGGACAAATTTTCTAGGACTAAATTCATGAAGATAGGATAAACCTCTAGCTATTCCTTTTGAAATTCTTAACCTTGTTGACCATGAAAGGTTTGAAGATGGTTGGCCATTTCTACCTGTGTACAACAAATAGTCAAATAGGATTAACTAAACCATTTGAACTAGAAACTTTTTACCAAATTTGTGCGAAAACTCAATCAATTTACTAAACTAATTCACATTTTTAATTTAGTGGAGTGGAAGTAAAGGGAAAAGAGTGTGAAAACAATTATAGTGGGGTCCAGGTCAATTTTTAAGATGTTGTGAAGCTTGTTGAAACTCAATGCTTCTTATTAAAGAAAGCATAGCATTTAATAAGATGAAATAAAGAAAGAAACAAAAGCACCTTTTTTATTAAGAAACTCAGTTTTTTTGTCTGAAAGAAAGTAGCTTTTGTTTTTTTTACCCAGAACACTGCATAGTTTAAAGGAAGCTAGTTTCCAAACATTACTAGGTAAACTGAAAATCCAAGAGTACTAAAGATTTTTTGCAAAGAAGAAAACAGAGATTGAAAACTCAAACAACATTGTAGTTTGAGAAGAGAAATGGTATGGAAGAATGAAACTATGACTTTACTAATGCATTCATTTTGCCCCTAAAATAGTTTTCTAAAACCAGAACAAAAAATTTGTAAAAATCACATGAAAATTACATTGTTCGCCCCCACTTTTTGATTAGGTATACTAGATTCTAAATAGCAATCACAATGTAGTTGCAATTTTTTATTTGGTCGGATACAATTTATGCAGCAGCAATTGCAATCATAAAGTAATCGCGAAGATATAAATAAACTTTGTTGTCGCCGCCATAACTATAGTAAGAGATATTTTTTTTAAACCTTGAAAGGTCTCTCCATATTATAAGAGTGAGCATAATTACAACTATATCAACCATATTCAGTTGAAAATTTTTCAATTATGAGTGTTAAGATTTTCATATTGAATGAGATATAAACCTTGAATCCAATTTGAAGGAAAACAATTAGGATCACATGGATCTTACTCTATCTAGTCTCATATATTAACAATTTATGAAAGCAAAAGAACTGACCTCGAAGTGCATTTGCCAAATTGCCATTAGAGATGAAATCACTAATGAGAAGCTTTTCATCATGAGCCCAATAGTAAGCTCTCAACCTCACAATATTAGGATGCTTCACCTTCCCAATGGCTTGCACCTCTGTCACAAACTCCTTATACCTCTCTTCTCCACCTTCCCCTAATCTCCTCACGGCGACCGGAACCCCATTTCCAAGCACCACCTTATACACAATCCCTAATGCACTCTTCCCCAACACATATGCTGATGCCTTCAAAAGCTCATCAAGCTCAATCCTAAAACCTTTATCAATTGTCACCAATTCACCTTCTCCTTTCCCTCCATCTCCCTCCATTTCACTCTCATCATTACCTTCTTCATTCTTCAAACCATTCATACATGGAAGCAAAGTACAAGCATTCCCTTTCTCACTCTCATTCTCATCACCAAACCTTCTTTTCCTTATGCAACTACATGCATTTTCATCATCTTTCTTCTTCCAGTAAACATAAACAATCAATAATCCAACAAGTGCGACCCCAACAACATCAGCTGCTGAGATCAAAATAATCAAACCAGGGCTCAACCCTTTCGAACCGTTACCTGACTCGTCTTTGTGAGAAGACGAGCCAGAACCTGTGCAAGATTTTCTTAGTGGAAGTCCGCACAGGTTTGTGTTACCAAGGAATGCAGTTGGGCCCTGGTTCGAAAATGTTCCCGTTTGTGGAATCTCGCCCATTAGATTATTGTTTCGTAGGTCGAAGTTCACGGTGGCGGGTAATTTCCCAAGTGAGCCCGGAATTCGGCCGGAAAAGTGGTTGAATGAAAGGTTTAGAGTGCCGGATAGGGAAACAAGGTCGCCTATGTCGTCCGGGATCGAACCTTTGAAATCATTCGCGGAGAGGTCGAGTTGGATGAGCTTATCAAGTTCCGACCACACGCCGGTTGGAATCTCTCCGGTGAACTTGTTCCTCGCTAGAATAAGCCTCTGAAGATTCTTACATTTCTTAACATCATCAGGAATTTTGCCGGATAATGAATTAACAGATAGGTCAAGGTTCTGCAGACGTGGAATGGCACAAACGGAAGCCGGAAACGGACCGGAAAGATTATTCCGGTGAAGAAAAATACTATGAAGTGCAGTAGCATTAAACAGCTGCATTGGAACAACACCATAGAATTCATTATCATGAAGATTAAGACGGCGAAGATACCGAAGCGTACCAAGCTCCGAAGGAAGATAACCACGGAGAGACTTCCCGGCGAGAGCAATTCCGACGACACGTGGCTCCGGAATACCAGAGATATTCGCACAGGAAATTCCCGACCAGCCGCAGGGGTAAGAATCGCCGCCGTTCCAGTCAAAGAATGCGCCGTCGCTGGATTGATCAACGGCGGATTTTAGAGAGAGAAGTGCTAGACCATCGGAGGAGAGAGAAAGTGTGAAGCTGAAGAGAAAATGAAAGCAAAGAAGGAAGAAGATTAAGAGAAATAACTTCATTGAAAAATAAAACTACTTACAAAGTTTGTTATAAAGTTTGTTAGAACGGTTGTTGAATACGGTACCGTTTTGGAGATTAGAGGAAGAATAAGAATGGTGGTGTGAAATTGGAAGGTTAGGGAGAGTGAATGGAAAACAGAGGAATGGGAAGGTGATGTATTTATGAGAAAGATAGATTGGTTTTAATACGGTGGGGTCCACTTCCCGCCAAAAATTATTAGGGACTATGTAACCGAAACAAACAAAGAGACAAAGAGTGAAGTATAATGTAAGAAAATTAAAAAAATATATATAATAGAGTTTCTCCACTTACTTCATATGCCTAGATTACAAATTAAAATTACATCGTTACATTATATAATATTTATTGTTGGTCTAGTAGTCAAGGTTTGTGTGGGTCTAATTCATATCGAGTCTTATTTTTTGAATTATGTGGGATGATAATTGTTTTGGATTGGACCTGTTTGTGGCTCAATTACCAGTAAGGCTCAATCCAAGCCTTACAACATGTTATGTTGGGCATTAGATCCTCCGAGCACACCCGATCACAGGCGATAGGTCGAATACGATTATGTCCGCTGGTGTCTGCGATGAGAGACGTCCCCGACGAGAGACGCCCCAGACGAGGAACATCCCAATCCAAGCCTTGCTCGAGTACCCTCCTCGTAGGGCAGACTTTCGACCCCTCTGGATGTCTCGGAGTCCTCAGGACCCCGAGAAGATCGCGTCTTCACCCTCCCTATTCTGCGGAGAGCATGATCCAGGTAGGAGACCACGTGCAGGTCCCCACTACTCACGTAGAATCTGGAAGTCCTTTTGTTGGACCTGTTTGGTCAGCCCAATAAAGGGACCTTGGCTCAGCGCTGGGGGCTATAAATACCCTTTATTTCAAGAGGGTCAGGTATTCATTCATTCACACCTATATACTATTTGCCTTCTCATTTCGTCTCTCACTTTATCATCGGAGTGTCTTGCAGGTACCCCCCCCCCCCCATCTCCTTCAAATCCAGTTCAAAACCAATAATGACGGTCCAATTTTCATCAGGTACGATCAGTGGCACCGTCTGTGGGAAACTAAGTTTCCCCGTCTTACTCACTTACAAAGACCAAAGCTAAAACCATCCTCGACTTTCATGGCTGACCAGACTCAGGACAACCATAACATCCGCGTCATCGAGGCCAACAACAACCTCGCCGACAACAATGTCGGCCCCAACAACGCTGGCGTCACCGCCCATATCACTGCCCCGGCAGCAACGTCCTCGGGACTTCTAACTACCAGGATGGAGCCACAACCTCGTCTTCATCAGTCCCTCCTAGGCTTGAAGAAGATAATCCAATTCCTCTGAATTCTCTAGTCGCCCAATTCCATGAGGTACCTATCCCCGCCGGGGCAGACGCCACGACCAGGACACTGTTCGCGACAATTAACCAGACCAACTATCTCATCTTTGCCCAAGGGGAAAGACTGAGAGCACTTGAGGACAACCGAAGGCCCCCTAAGAGGCACAGGAGGCCTCAATCCCCACCTCCTCGAAGAACGGAGGAACGTCCCCGATCTCCCCCGCAGAGACAGGATCGAGAAATCTCTCGAAGCCCGTCGCCCCGACCACTCGGGCGACGACCCGCCTTGGAGAGAGAACCACTCATCGAAACTGGAAGGCGCGACCACGACCCTTCACGGCAAGATCGAAGGCCTCCTGGAGACAGACGCGAAAGAACCTATCAACGGACACATCGCTCGAGGAACGTCCAGCACGACCAGGGCCATCGTGACCGACAATACATCAGATCCCCGTCCTGCTCCCTGGAACGGAGTGACGAGGAAGACCCCCGCGATCCCTTGTCACAAGCTATCATGGAGGCGCCCATTCCCCCGGGCATGGAGAAGCCTCCCCACTTGAAAGAGTATGACGGAGTCGCCGACCCGGTCGATCACATAGACAGGTTCAAGGACATGCTGCACTACCACAATGTCGGGGGACCAATCAAATGTCGGTTGTTCCCCACGACCCTGAGGAAAGCAGCTATGGACTGGTACAAGGGTCTCGCCCCGGGGTCAATTACCTCGTGGCGAAACTTAAAGAACCAATTCATCAGCTCGTTCATTATGTTGCAGCGACATCCGAAGACCGAAGCGGCACTCAAGGCCATCTTCTAGAAACACGATGAGACCTTGAGAGAATTCATCAACCGCTTCAACCGGGAAGCCATTCAGGTCCCTTGCACGGACCATATGAAGAGATACCTGCTGGAGAGGGGACTCCTCCCCGGCACAAAATTCAGGAAAGTCGTGGGCATTAAACCACCCCGAACGTTTGATGCCCTCCTCGAGAAGGCCAGGGCCTACATGGACTACGAGGAGAGGGAAGCGGCCAACAGAGCCCGAGACCCCAGGAATCGCAGATCCAGTAGCAATTCGCGCCAAGATATCGTCCCTCCTCGATGAACCGGGGAAAAAAGAAAAGATGACAAACCCCGAGACACCCGAGAGTAGAGGGGGCCTTCGGAGCGTTTCACATAATACACTCTGCTCACGACTTCCCGCGAGCGCATCTTAAAGGAGTGTGCGAGTACAGACTTTAAAGATGGCGGCGTCAAACATCCCCGACCAGCTCCTGCCAAACCCGGGGTGGACCAGAGTAAATACTGCCAGTACCACCGGAGCCACGGGCATCTGAATGAAGACTGCGTCCACCTCAAAGACGTCATCGAGACCCTCGTAAAAGGGGGGAGACTCGCGCAGTATCGGCGAAATGACGCTCCTCGTCGCGACGCCCGCGAGACGAGGGAAGCAGAAGAGGATGCCTGACCATCTGACGAGTCGGTTCCCATCCAAACCGCCTTCTTCATCACAAGACTCGAGCACTTCTACGTCCCCGACCACCTTCAAGAACCGTTGTTGATGCACAACAGGTGGGAACACTTTCCCGCCGCCATGGATATCAATGGTGGAGGGTTCAATGATCTGACCATAAATTCAGCTAAGAGGAAGCTGGACGAGTTGGTCGACACGGCCCCCTCTCAAACGGTGACTTTTGAAAAAGTGAGGGGCAGGTCGAAACCAATCACCTTCTATCTCGAAGAGCTCCCCGGAGGGGCCCCCGATTAGGTCATTCCTCTGCTGATAAGAGCGAGAATAGCCAACTTTGACGTACACCGCATCCTCGTCGATGAAGGAAGTTTCGTTGACGTAATGTACAGCCAACTGTTCTGAACCCTGCAACTCGACGACTCTCACCTCTCGCCTTACATGGGGTCAGACCTGCAGGGCTTTAACGGTTCAACTTCTAAGCCTTGTGGATACGTCGATCTCATGGTCAGGTTCGGCGAGGATACAGAAACGAGGTAAGTCAAGGTGTGCTTCCTCATCATTGATTTCACGTCCCTCTACAACTGCATTATGGGAAGGCCGACACTGGTGGAGCTGACCGCGGTACCCTCCACCGTTCATCTAAAAATGAAGTTTTACACCAAGAGGGCACGGGTCGCCACCATCCAAGGGGATCTAGCAGCGGCCCGGAGGTGTTTTAATGCGGCATCCAAGGGACGCCATACGGTCGCCACCAGCACAAGGCCCGCCAAGAGAGCTGCAACAACACGACCAGAGCCTCAGAGGTCAGAGCCCGTCAAGGTGGAAGAGTAGAGAACCCCTTCAGAGGTCGACTCAATATCCCTGGACACCCGCTTCGACCATGATGAGCCTCCTAGAAGCGAGCAAGTCCCCCTTCGACCAATTCCAGACGGGGACTTCGAACTCGCCCCCCTCGGTGAGGACCCAAGCAGAGGAGTGAAGATTGGAACCAGACTCCCCGACTTGACAAGGAAGCAAATCAAAGCTTGCTTGTGCGAGAATGCAAACCTGTTCGCGTGGAGCGCTGTGGAGATGCTCGGAATCGACCCCGAGGTCTCCTGTCACCGACTCGCCATAGATCCAGCCGCTAGGGCAGTAGTACAACGTAGACGTAGGCAGTCTCCGGAGAAAACAGAGTCCGCTGAAAAAGCTGTAAAAGACCTCCTAGAGGCAAATTTTATTTCTGAAGCCCGATATTCAACCTGGTTGTCAAATGTTGTACTTGTCAAGAAAAATAATGGAAAGTGGCGAATGTGCGTTGATTATACCGATCTTAACCGAGCATGTCCGAAAGATGCATTTCCTTTACCTAACATAGATATGCTCGTCGACAACTCAGCCGGTTATAAAATACTGTCGTTTATGGACGCCTATTCGGGCTATAACCAAATCCAAATGGCAATAAGCGACAAGCATTACACCGCTTTCATGACCAGCTCGGGCAACTAGTACTACAACGTAATGCCCTTTGGTCTGAAAAATGCAGGAGCAGCGTATCAACGGATGATGAACAAAGTATTCCACAACCAAATCGGGGATATGCTCGAGGTATACATGGACGACATGATCGTCAAATCCCGAGCAGACACCGACCATGCCGCTCACCTCAGGGAAGTCTTTGCTCAAGCAAGGCAATGCAAAATGAGATTTAACCCCGAGAAGTGCACGTTCGGGGTCAAGGCGGGGAAATTCCTCGGCTTCTACTTGACAAAACGAGGAATCGAAGCCAACCCCGACAAATGTCGGGCTTTCTACGACCTCCCCATGCCTACATCGAAGAAATCCATACAAGTCCTGAATGGAATGCTCACCTCGTTATCCCGTTTCGTTGCGAGATCCGCTCAGCACACCCTCCCCTTCTTCAAGCTTCTTTGCAAGGAAGCAGCCTTCGAATGGACCGAGGAATGCGAGAAGGAACTGCTCCATCTTAAACAAAGTTTATCTCAACTGCCCATGTTATCACGACCAGTCAACGGGGAACCTTTATTCCTGTACCTGGCCGTCTCGGCCAAAGCCGCTAGTGCAGCCCTCATTCGCGAGACGGCCGATGGACAAAAACCCGTCTATTTCACGAGCAAAGAGCTTCAAGGGCCCAAGGTCAGATACCTACAGATAAAGAAGGTAGATCTGGCCCTCGTCAATGCAG